CCCTTTCCTGAAACCCAAAATCTACCAGAGGCACCCATCTCACTCTGCCTAATGGTAGAACTGGTCCCACGTGGCACCTAGTTTCACCAATCCTACTGAGCCCATACAGATAACCAGATGTGTGGTGTAAAAACAACAACCTACACACAATTCATTGTGCAGGTTAAGACAGAGACTAAGCTATTCTAAGATGAGAGTGTTTTACACCACGGCAGTTTGGTTATCCACTCGGCTTGCCACGGGCTCAATGGATAAGAGTAACATTTGGCTAGCAATATGAAAGGGATTATCAGCAATCCGAAACTTCGCTCCTACTTCTTGAACACTCCAAGAAAACATGGCAACTGGATGTACCAGTCTGCAATCCGTCTTTGTCAAAGTACACCTGCAAACGTGATGTGGAACAGCTTGACTTCAAACACATTGTAGGCATGTACCAAGGAGCCATGACCATCCACTGTTCCTAGCCCCATGTCCTGAGTATTTTGAAGTTTACATGCATCCTAGCCATGGTAAAAGCGTGAAGCAGCTCCAAATTCCTCTGTGTGGACAAAATGTGTTTGTCTCAGTCCTTCTGTCTTTCTCTTGTCTCCTTTCCGAAAAGCTCAATTGCGTCAGACAATGATGAGTGGGTAGAAGCCACTTGCATATAAAAGAATGGAAGAATATGTCCACAGTGCAGTGTCCGAAACTCCCATTGTTCCAGGCGCATTTTGCGACAGGGAATTTCATTAGCGCAAGCAGTTTCTGAGCTCTGGCCATAGTACTGCGCCTAAGATTTCAGATTAAAACTGCAGAGTGGAAGGAAAGGAGGACCTGTTTAGGGAAGTTTTTAATGTGTGATATTTTAATGTATTTTTGGTTTCTATGGAAGCCGCCCAGAGTGGCTGGGGAAACCCAGCCAGATGAGCGGGGTACAAATAATATATTATTATTATTATTATTATTATTATTATTATTATTATTATTATTATTATCTGCCTCCCCACTTCCAGCTGCTCTCTCTCTTAAGAGGCCCTCTTAAGAATATTAGGGGGCGGGCAGAGGAAGACTAGATCATGTGAAAAATAAACATGTAATATTTTAGCTGCAGTTCATTCATTTTCGGCTTTGTATTCTTGTTATAAAAAAGTGTACCTAGACATTCCGTTGTTGCGCCCATGACCTCGGTTTAAGGTGCCATTTAGCTCCTAGTTTCCATATCTCTGTTTCTAACACTGCCATAGTGGGAACATACAGAGCACCATGATTAAGGTGAACGATGTGCCAATATTGAACCAATATTGAGAAACAGCTTAATTAAAAGATTGAAGAATCCGTGTGCAGCACAGGCGAGCCTTTCCAATCAGCTTTTTCTAAGGACAGATAATCTGCTGAGTCTATCCATCGGGATTGCCACTCACAGAGGAGGCCACCTTGCATTTCTGCGTGAGTCCCTGCTCTGAGCATGCCTCTTCCCAGAGGCACTTCTACAGCAGCAACTTACACAGAGATGCAACATAATACCTCCGCATGCGCATTTAGCAAGGCAAGATCCGTAGCAAAGTAAATAGTTTGTGGAACAACAGGGAAGTGTGCATCCAATTTATTTCAGGCGAAGAGTGTGTCTCGGCTGCCGGAGGTTTGCGGCACGGTGGCAAAAGAGAACGTAGGCCTCATTTGAGAGGGGGCGACAGCCCCTCCCAACCTAGACGCGGAGAGAGATGTCTCCTTCTGGCTATTCACAGTGAGGAAACGGCAAAGGGCTTCCTCACAAGGCTCTGAGAAACAGGGCCACAATGGCTTCAGTGACCCATGAAATCTGGGAGGCTCAGGCAAGCTGATTGAAGTTAGTGGGGGGCGGGGTTGCCTCCCCCCGTTTAGAATAGCAGAGGTAGAGCTTGCTGGCCTGGCCTCTGAATGGGTGTTCTGTAATAATGAGGAGGATTTGACAGACAAGTGTTATTAAAGAGCACAGAGCTCTAATTAGAGCTTCTCTGTCAGGTCCGAAGGTGTGTCTTGCCTCCCTCCCCAAATGAATGGCCCACACCTGCTGTTAATGGGAAAATGGCAGAGGGAAAGGAGGGGTGCTTAAGGCTAGTTTACCCCAGGGACAGAAGGTCCAGGAAAATGGGGGTGGGGGTTTTCTGCTGCTTAAAAACAAAAAACACCCATCAACCTCAATTCTCTTTCCAAGGCAAGTGCTTTGTAGCTGAGGTTTCACTTTATCCAAATATCAAAACGTCTACCGCTCTAGATTCAGCCCAGCAGAACATGCCCAACTGATGCAATTTAGAGTGGGTTATATTTGGACCACTGCTAAGGCATTCTCGGCGGCAGCACCCCCACTGTGGAGCCCCTTCCCAAGGAAAGGTGGGCACTCCCACCTCCTCACCTGCATTCATGAAGCACGTAAATACTTTTTATAAAAAAATGTTTCCAGGATTTTGGCTGATAGTGTTAAGTTTTTCACTTCTGGTTTTTAACAGCTATGCACGATGATTTGAATTGTTTCCTATAAAATGATTGTTGCGAGCTGTCCTGGGCAGAAAAAAAGGAGGTGAAAAAAACTGAAATAATAAATTAATAAAGAACAGCCAGATGCTAATATAGGGTATGTAGAAGTTGGAGCAATGAAAGTGCATGGGATTGATCCTGCATGTGAACTAGGTTTCCTTCCATAGAGTTTTCTTACCACAAGTGGCTGTACCAACTATACACCATCTAAGTCAGTCCCAGCACAGGAGGTGCTGGAGCACAATGCTTTGGTTATGGATTGAAGCTGAATCCTGACAAGACAGAAGTACTGTTTTGGGGGGACAGGGGGCGGGCTGGTGTGGAGGACTCCCTGGTCCTGAATGGGGTAACTGTGCCCCTGAAGGACCAGGTGCGTAGCCTGGGAGTCATTTTGGACTCACAGCTGTCCATGGAGGCGCAGGTCAATTCTGTATCCAGGGCAGGTGTCTACCAACTCCACCTGGTACGCAGGCTGAGACCCTACCTGCCCGCGGACTGTCTCGCCAGAGTGGTGCATGCTCTAGTTATCTCCCACTTGGACTACTGCAATGCGCTCTACATGGGGCTACCTTTGAAGGTGACTCAGAAACTACAGCTAATCCAGAATGCGGCAGCTAGACTGGTGACTGGGGGCGGCCGCCGAGACCACATAACACCGGTCCTGAAAGACCTACATTGGCTCCCAGTACGTTTCCAAGCACAATTCAAAGTATTGGTGCTGACCTTTAAAGCCCTAAATGGCCTCGGCCCACTATACCTGAAGGAGCGTCTCCACCCCCATCGTTCTGCCCGGACACTGAGGTCCAGCGCCGAGGGCCTTCTGGCGGTTCCCTCATTGCGAGAAGCAAAGCTACAGGGAACCAGGCAGAGGGCCTTTTCGGTAGTGGCGCCCGCCCTGTGGAACGCCCTCCCATCAGATGTCAAAACAATAAACAACTACCTGACATTCAGAAGACAACTTAAGGCAGCCCTGTTCAGGGAAGTTTTTAATGTATGATATTTTAGTGTTTTTTGGTTTCTGTGGAAGCCGCCCAGAAGGTGTGCATGCAATCCAACCGCTGTGCTGCAGGAAGACTGTCTGCAAGGGGGATCCTGAGGGGTGGGCTTCTCAGTACAGCCACTTTTCTGAGAATCACATGCACATAATGCAGTGAAAATATGGATACAGTGAGAAGTTTGCATAGCACTGTAGTCTTGGGTCCTCCCCACCTGTGAATTGCCCTCACTGCCACATAATGTATTTAGGATCAGGATTTTGGACTCTCCAGATGTCAGCTCGCATTTAGGGCTACAGCTTCCTTTGGATTCTGTTTCCACACATTATTATCCAAACCAGGCTTTGCTCTTCTCCAAGTCTCTAACTCAAATGCAATACAAGTGCATGGTTTTTTATTATAAAAAAACCCTCCTGTACGTTTTTTCCATCCGGCATTAACGTTATTCACACGTGAGCAAAAACAGCCGGAGAGGATCAGAGGCTGTTCTTCGTGCCATGTGTTAAAAACGCCTCGACTTCAAAGGGAAGACGACTTGGTAGCTGAACCGGCCAAGGGGAAAGCAAGAAGGGGGTCTCCGGAGCCAAAGGAAATCCTAGCAGGGGACTTTTCAAAGCATTTCGCTTTCCGGGTCTCCTAATCCCTTGGGAATCCAAAGCAGCGAAGGGAGTGGCTGGCGCAAACTGCCACCCGTTCCCCTCTTCCTCCTTAAATTCGTGATAAAATGATCTCTGGCTTGGAGAGGGGCTGGTTTTCGGGGGCGAGGAAGAGAGGGAGACCAACAACAACAACAAAACAACAACAACAAAAACCCGGGCGCGTCAGACTTTGGTGATACAGCGGCTGGGGAAAGGAAGGCGCGCGCTGGGGCGCATTTCTTCGGTTCCCAGGCCCTGGGCGCAGTGGCCAGCGGCTGGGAGCCGACGGCGTTTGCCCTCCCCAGTCCCGGGGGCTGAGCCGGCCAAGGCAGCCAGCTGCCCCCCTGGCAAGTCGCCTCGCAGAGGATCCCCCGGGGAGGGCGCACCAACCCGGAGCGCGCCCGGGCGCACGGCAGCCCAGGCTCCCCGCGTCCCTGGCGGCGGCCACCAGCCCCCTTACCTTAGCGCCCAGGGCGCCGGCCAGCAGCAGAAGCAGCGAGGGCGCGGCGAGGAGCCGGCGGGCAGAGCAGGCGGGAGGCGCGGCCATCGTGCGCGCTGCTAGAGCTCCATGGGCAGCCAGGAGGCGGCGGCGGCAGCAGCAGCAGCAAAGCCCCGGCGGCGGCGGCGGCGGCAAGAGGAGCCGCCTGCGCGCAAACCTGCATGGCCGAGCGAGTAATTAATGGCTTTCCAACCTGTCGGGCGGCGGCGAGAGCGCGGCGCGCAACCCGGCGGCTCCTGGGCGGCCGTGATTGACAAGGCGACCTGAGAGCCACCCGAAGCCGCGGCAGCCAGGGGGGGGGGGCGGAAGGAGGGAGCCGGAGGCGGGGGGAGCTGGGTCAGCCCCCGGCGAGACCTCGCTCGGCGAAGGGAGACAAAGGAGCCCGGCTTAGCAGCATCCTTCCTGCCGCGGCTTCGGGGGGAGGAAGAAGAGAGCGCGGTGGGGGTCGCATCCTTTCCACCGGAGGGGGGGTCCTTAACCATCCCCCCCCCCAGAAAAGTAGGGTAATAATTGGACTTTTCCTTGGGATCCGGCGCGTGCAGGCTTCCGAGTTTAACAGAGCTCTTTGTCACCAGCGCATCCTTCCCTAATTCTGAAACAGTGGCTCTCAAACTTTTCCTCCGCGGGCCACACTTAAAAGATATTTGCTCGCGCCATGCCGACTTCTTTTATTGGGAAGAAATAAGCAGAAATAAATAAGATTCTATGATTATATGAAATACATTGGGAAAGCAAAAGAAGCCACTCCTAGCCCAAGTCTTCTCCAGCACTCTGTTTGAACTGCGACGATTCTGGATCACAACTAGGATTGTCTGCAGTGTCACTTAATGTTCCTGCTATCCTTTAAAACAATATTTAAACATCCGTTTTCTGAAGAAAAAAATTAAAAAGTGTTTTGATACTATATGAAATGCTTTTTTTTGTCCTTGAATCTTCCCACCCCGGTTGCCACCTTCTCATGCCACACCAGTGTGGCAGCTGCTGCCCCATTTGAGTAACACTGTTCTGAGATCACCACCACTGGATTGGTGGATTGTTGTGGATTCAATTATTGTAGGACCCCGTTCAGCAAGAGAGTTCCTAGAAGACCGTTCTGAGAAGAGGACGAAGAGCAGAAAGTCCCCCATTTGCCCCTGGCACACACAGACATGACGCACCCCTTCCAAAAGTGGCTGTGAAGATGTCCCATTGCTGTTTCCACCATTCAACACTCTCTCACGCAGAGACACTTCTGTTCTCTGCATTGACAGTTAAAGGGACATCTGGAATTTCTCTCAGCCAAATTTAGCCCCGGCCGGGGTCTTCCGTTGCTGATATCTGGGTAAGCTTCACTGAGATAATGCATAAGAAGAAAAGCTATATATACCCTTTGTGCTTATGGTTCACCCGCTTCCTTTGCTCCCGCCCCCCAACAAAACAGCCCTGTGAGGTAGGTTATGCCAGGCGACTACTGCATAAAATGGAGAGTGTCTCCTCCCTACCACTTTTATTGTATTTCTGCAAATGTGGACCTGAACTGTCAACTTTTTATAGACGTTTGTACATCATGGAGAGAGCAGTCTTGTTGTCTGGGCAGCCCAGGACCTCTCTACGCACTGCCCAGGCTTGCGCCCAGAGGGGTCACTTTGGTGCTACTAACACAGCAAAAACAATGTGGCAGTTTATGAGTTAACGGTCTCTGCAGCTACAGCAGGCGCTGTGATTCTCCAGGGGTTTGACTTCACCTCCACAAATGCACTCCATTGTCTCTCGAGATAGGCAGATGCCACCCAGTATTCCCAGCTGTTATGTACTGAGGATCCAAAATGCAGCAGTCTGATTGGTCCTAGAACAATAGGATCCAGATGCAGCAGTCTGATTGGCCCTAGAACAATAGGATCCAGAATGCAGCAGTCTGATTGGTCCTAGAACAATAGGCTCTAGAATGCAGCAGTCTGATTGGTCCACAGGACCACCCAATCCAGCTCCAGGTGGAAGTGAATCCACAACCTGATTGGCCTACAGGAGAATTAGCCAGTCACGTGGGGTCCATTGTGTAAATAATGTATACAAAGCAGACATTCTGGGGGAACTTCCATTCCTCCTCACCACCATGAGCTGAATAAAGAGCATGAAATCCACTCTCAACTCTGAGTATATTTCACCAGCATTAACTGGATGTTGCCAGGAACCAAAAAGAAGAAGCTGGAAGCAGAAACATTTTGGCAAATCTCTAGTGGTTTTTTTCAACCCTTGAAATTAATGATATGGTTAAAAGAAATTTTGCCCTATGTGTACAGAGGACCACTGTGCTGAAGAGCTGTAGTTCAAAGGTGCCTTTGCAGGTCCCATGTTCCCTCTCCAGGCATGTCTGGCAGTGGTGAACCTACAATTTTGGGCCCCGAAGCTTGAAATGTTATGGGGGGCCACTCCTGTCTCAACCAGCAACAAGGTCTGGGAAACCACTGTTGTCTTCTTCGATGGGGTTGTTCCACAACAGATCAGCACAACTTTTCCGCAAGTTTGCATTTTTGGTATCCACTTAAATTAGGCATGCCATATTTCAAAAAGTGAAAATCTGGACACAAAAGTTTTTGAGCTATTTCTAAGGATATTTGCCAAAATCTAGAATTCCGATATGGGTTGCCATAGTCGGGATTTTCCTGGACATTTCAGCATTTTCTGCCTGGACACTCTTTCCGACTGCCATTTCTGGCTATGTCCAGGAAATTCCAGATGTTTGGAACCCTATCTTAAATACTTTTGTGTACTCATTGTTATTCCTAGAGTCTTGACCCCTGTTCAAAAGGGGGTGGGGAGATTAGCCGCAGCAGAACAGCTTACTTACTGCAACATTCCACCTTTACAACATCTGTGCTACTGACTCTCAACCTTTGGGATTCTTGAGATATATGCAACCAAAAAAGAATCGTTTGAGCAGGGGTAGGCAAACTAAGGCCTGGGGGCCGGATCTGCCAATCGCCTTCTAAATCTGGCCCGCAGACGGTCCGGGAATCAGCGTGTTTTTACATGAGCAGAATGTGTCGTTTTACAGTGGTACCTCAGGTTAAGTACTTCATTCGTTCCGGAGGTCCATTCTTAACCTGAAACTGTTTTAACCTGAAGCACCACTTTAGCTAATGGGGCCTCCCACTGCCACCGCGCCACCAGAGCACGATTTCTGTTCTCATCCTGAAGCAAAGTTCTTAACCTGAAGCACTATTTCTGGGTTAGCGGAGTCTGTAACCTGAAGCGTATGTAACCTGAGGTTGTTGTTGTTGTTTCTTCGTTTAGTCGTGTCCGACTCTTCGTGACCCCCTGGACCAGAGCCCGCCAGGCACTCCTGTCTTCCACTGCCTCCCGCAGTTTGGTCAAGCTCATGCTGGTAGCTTCGAGAACACTGTCCAACCATCTCGTCCTCTGTCGTCCCCTTCTCCTTGTGCCCTCCATCTTTCCAGCATCAGGGTACTATTGGAGCCTCAGCTTCAGGATTTGTCCTTCCAGTGAGCACTCAGGGCTGATTTCCTTCAGAATGGATGCGTTTGATCTTCTTGCAGTCCATGGGACTCTCAAGAGTCTCCTCCAGCACCATAATTCAAAACCTGAGGTACCAATGTATTTAAAATGCATCTCTGGGTTATTTGTGGGGCATAGAAATTCGTTCAGTTTTTTTCTTCAAAATATAGTCCAGCCCCCCACAAGGTCTGAGGGGCAGTAGACCGGCCCCCTGCTGAAAAAGATTGCTGGCCCCTGGGTTTGAGTCATGCAACTCAAATTGGGTCTATTGGACCCCAAGATTTTAAGCAATATGAACTAAAGTTGCTTCTGGGGCAGTGAAGCTTAAGCTCCATTAGTTTGAAAGGAGATCCACCCATGATGGCTGGGAATGCCATTTCTCTGAAACTCAGTCAATGTTGGTCTTTGTTGGTTTTTAGCTCTTATCAGTTTTAATTATTAGTTTTTTATCTATCCAATTATCTGTGCTTAATCTTGTATTTTATTCGGATGTTTTATGCCTGTTTCCTTGTCCTCATTTGCCCTAACAATTATCGGTCAAAAATCCCAACTGCTATTTTATCTATGCGTGCTTTTCTTAATCCTGGTCTGTGACCGTAATAAAGTTCATTCATTCAGTCAATGTGGACAATCTTGAGTTGGTTGGACCAGAAGTCTTCTTCTACACAAGTCAGTGTCCTTTGTTCCCATGTGTAGTGTCATTCATACATTAACCCTTCTCTGTGAACTCTCTGAGTTGGTTCACAGATTGGGGTGGGGGGCATGTGTCTTATCCAGTAGTGATGTATGGAAGTGAGAGCTAGACCATAAAGAAGGCTGATTGCCGAAGAATTGATGCTTTTGAATTATGGTGTTGGAGGAGACTCTTGAGAGTCCCATGGACTGCAAGAAGATCAGACTTCTCCATTCTTAAGGGAATCAGCCCTGAGTGCACACTGGAAGGACAGATCCTGAAGCTGAGGCTCCAATACTTTGGCCACCTCTTGAGAAGAGAAGACTCCCTGGAAAAGACCCTGATGTTGGGAAAGATGGAGGGCACAAGGAGAAGGGGACAACAGACGACGAGATGGTTGGACAGTGTTCTTGAAGCTACCAGCATGAGTTTGACCAAACTGCGGGAGGCAGTGGAAGACAGGAGTGCCTGGCGTGCTCTGGTCCAGGGGGTCACGAAGAGGCGGACATGACTAAACGACTAAACAACAACAACAAATGTGTCCCATGTTTCAGAAGACAGCCCTCTGAAAGGCTGTCTTGTCCTAGTTTGATTTAAAGATAAGAGAACCATAAGAAGGGAGAGCAGAGGCCTTAAAACTTCCCTCCAAAAGTTAGCACCTGAACAGCATATTAAGGAGGCACACAGGTCACCTGATGACACTCTCCTGCCCTAGGGTCAGAAGTATTGGGTTTCTTTGTAAATATTAGTACAGTGGTACCTCTGGATGCGAACGGGATCCGTTCCGGAGCCCCGTTCGCATCCTGAAGCGAATGTAAGAAGTGTCTGCGCATGCGCGGGTCATGTTTTGCCGCTTCCGCGCATGTGCGTGATGTTATTTTGAGTGTCTGCGCATGTGCGAGTGGTGAAACCCGGAAGTAACATGCTCCGTTACTTCTGGGTCGCCGCGGAGCGCAACCAGAAAATATTTAAGCTGAAGCGTATTCATCCCGAGGTATGACTGTAATTATTTTGAAAAGTGCAGATAGGCATATAAATTAGCATATGCAAATATATGCCCCTTTTTTGAGTAATGCATAAGTGTCGTCCCCCCACCCCCACCCCGGTGCATGTAATCACTTGCTTATACTTGATGATTGACACATTGAATGTGTGAACTAACTCCATGGGAAAGTTCTTAATGCAGGAATAATAAAAAGTGTCTGGGACAGTCTTATGCAGGGGTAGGCAACCTAAGGCCCGGGGGCCAGATGTGGCCCAATCGCCTTCTCAATCCGGCCCGCAGACGGTCTGGGAATTAGCATGTTTTTAGAATGTGTGCTTTTATTTAAAATGCAGCTCTGGGTGATTTGTGGGGCATAGGAATTCATTCATTCCCCCCCCCAACCAAAATATAGTCCGGCCCCCCCCAAGGTCTGAGGGACAGTGGACCGGCCCCCTGCTGGAAAAGGTTGCTGACCCCTGGTCATGTGTAAAGATAGTGACATGGCCAGCCAAGCCATCTTTGGGTTTTTGGGTTTTTTCCAAAAAGAATTATTGATTTTTACAATATTAACAACAAACAAAAACACAAAACGAACAAACATAGCAAACATAAATCATAACCTTATTGAAAATAGCAGTTATTAACTTTGTAAAGCGACTTCCTCGTTTCCCCTTTGTGACTGGAGTAACCCCATTAGATGGGTGGGGTGCAATTATTATTATTATTATTATTATTATTATTATTATTATTATTATTATTTTGAGTATCCTTGCCACTGGATATGTGTGTGCATGTCTGTATTTTACCAGGAAAGGCTCCCTATATATCTCAAAGGGTCATTGGGAGGATGAATGAGATTATGCCACAAAGCACTTTGCACAGTTAAAGAATTTCATCAATTACTAATAATAGCAGAGGCTGGAAAGGAAGAGGGATCTGGTTGCCAGATGTAGCGCTGGCTGGTGCAGGAAGTCGGCCTAAGCCTCCCCATCTCCCCCTTCCTCCCCCAAAAGGTCTTGGCCTCATAGACACAGCAGAAAGAAAGATGAAAGATGTTTGTGGGGATCCTCCGCTGGAAGGAGGTGATACTGGAAACCATCCGTCTCAGGGATGTCCTGGAAGCCAGGGCTGTCCGAGAACAGCTTCTCCAAAGCTGTTCCTAAAGCGATAAATTAATTCATCTGCCCTATGCTGTCTGATACCAAGCAACTCATTTGCTCCGTAAACCTCTCCCTGCTCCATTTTCCTGCTACAAATCCTCTCTTCGTTCTTCACCCGGTCCAATGCAAAACCCTATTAAAATGAATGGAAGCGGCAGAAGTGTAGTCGTGTGCCGTGCATTTTAATGGAGCTTGGCTTGTGCCTGAGATCTTCTCAGTAGATTGTGTCTGTGGATCCTAAACCCACTGGCTTTTCCCAAAGGCTCCAAATATATATGGTCAGATGGAGTTCATTTATCTATCCCTGAAGATAGAAGGAAAACATCACCCTACCTGGTGTGGAGATATATTTTATTTTATTTTATAGTACTAAGCAAGTAAAGTTGGGCTAGAATACAATCAAAGTGAGTGTTATCCGCAACTTCCAAATGCATTTGACCCAACATTTCCCTTATCCCCAAAAGTCCAGTATTTGAGGAAGCAGGTTTGGTGTCCAATCTAAATTTGCTGGCAGGTGATTGAATTCCACCTGAAAACAGTGGCAGTCTGGAAGCATCCTTTGTGTTCCAAAATGGTTCACATCAATTGAAAGGGGCAGGCAGGCAGGCCCTGCCATGATGAGGCTAACAGACTAAAGCAGGGGTAGGCAACCTAAGGCCCGTGGGCCGGATGCGGCCCAATTGCCTTCTCAGTCTGGCCCACGGATGGTCCAGGAATCAGTGTGTTTTTACATGAGTAGAATGTGTCCTTTTATTTAAAATGCATCTCTGGGTTATTTGTGGGGCATAGGAATTTGTTAATTTCACACACACACCTCAAAAATAGTCCAGCCCACCAAATGGTCTGAAGGATGGTGGACCGGCCCATGGCTGAAAAAGGTTGCGGACCCCTGGACTAAAGAGACAAGACATACAAGGCAAAAGGGAATACATAATAATAATAATAATAATAATAATTTATTTATACCCTGCCCATCTGGCTGGGCCTCCCCAGCCACTCTGGGTGGCTTCCAAAAGAATATTAAAATACTATAATACATCAAACATTAAAAGCTTCCCGAAACAGGGCTGCCTTCAGATGTCTTCTAAAAGCCTGGTAGTTGTTGTTCTCTTTGACATCTGGTGGGAGGGCGTTCCACAGGGAAGGCGCCACTACCGAGAAGGCCCTCTGCCTGGTTCCCTGTAACTTGGCTTCTCGCAATGAGGGAACCGCCAGAAGGCCCTCGGCGCTGGACCTCAGTGTCCGGGTAGAACGATGGGGGTGGAGACGCTCCTTCAGATATACTGGACCAAGGCCGTTTAGGGCTTTAAAGGTCAGCACCAACACTTTGAATTGTGCTTGGAAACGTACTGGGAGCCAATGTAGGTCTTTCAAGACCGGTGTTATGTGGTCTCTGCGGCCGCTCCCAGTCACCAGTCTAGCTGCTGCGTTCTGGATTAGTTGTAGTTTCCGGGTCCAAGCGGGAGATAACCAGAGCATTCACCACTCTGGCGAGACAGTCCACAGGCAGATAGGGTCTCAGCCTGCGTACCAGATGGAGCTGGTAAACAGCTGCCCTGGACACAGATTTGACCTGCGCCTCCATGGACAGCTGTGAGTCCAAAATGACTCCCAGGCTGCGCACCTGGTCCTTCAGGGGCACAGTTACCCCATTCAGGACCAGGGAATCCTCCACACCTGCCCGCCTCCTGTCCCCCAAAAACAGTACTTCTGTCTTGTCAGGATTCAACCTCAATCTGTTAGCCGCCATCCAACCTCCAACCGCCTCATTTTACAGGGTAAAATGAGAAGCTTTGCCTTCAAACCAGGCCAAACTGCTAAACTACTGACTTATTTGAGAGATAATTAAACCCTGCAACTTTATTCCAAACTAAGATTTCTTTACCTTCGATGTCTACAGTGTGCATGCAAAGAAAATGCAAAGTTCTTTACAGCACAACCCTACACATGTCTGCATTGAGTTCAAACTTGCTCCTCGTCCCATGCAAGCATGGAACCTTAGTTTCATGGCACGCTTCTTTTTGGACCAGACACCCTGCCCTGCCATCCAGCTCACAATTACAGTTATAGAGGGCTGTGTATGTGCAGTATAGTCTGTGTGCGAGTTTGAAGTTGTACACTGCTAAGAATATCTTTCCAAAGAAAATGAAAATAGACTGTGGTTCTCCCCCCACCCCTTTTTTTCTTTCTTTCTTTAAAAACAGAAATCAAAGAGAGTTGCACTGCATGAATGCACTGTTAGGAGATCAAGAGAGCACAGGAGTCTCAAGAGCTTAGCTCAAGAAGGACAAAATATTTCCGAAAAGGGGACTTCAAGACCTTGAACCAAGACCTGGAGGACTCTAGAACATCTGGCTCACTAAGCTACACCATACCCTTCTTGCCAGATTTGTAGAATTGTAGAGTTGGAAGGGACCAACCCTCTGCAATGCAGGAATCTTTTGCCCAAGGTACAACCTTGAGATTAAGATAAGGTTACCGTATGTTTTTCAATGAATCCAGGGACACAATCAATCAATAAATCAATCAATCAATAATACACATTCAGGATGTTGACGCTGCTGCGATGGCGGTGGCAGAGGGGCGGCCACCGCCTTGACCTCAACCGCCATGTTTCCCCTTCCTCCGAGGCTTCTATCTCCTTTCTCCATGAGCCTGGGCACCCCTGAGTTGTTGGTTCTTCATTGGTGGTGGTGGGGAAGCAGTGTGCAGTGGGTCAGGTATGGAAGGCGGAGAAGGAGGGCCGAGAGCAGCGGTGAGGCTCGGGCAGCGTGATGCCTCCCTTCCCATTGGAGCAGCCCCAATTCTACTCCTACTTGTGTGCAAGCAGGAGTGGGCGGGGATCCCTCAGCTGGGAAGGGAGGCTTCCCGTTGCCTAACTGAGAGATCCCTGCCCCCTCCTGGTTGCACGCAAGTAGGAGTTGGGAGGCTGCTCCGACAGGCAGCATGAAGCCTCCCTTCACAGCTTAGTTGCTGGGGTCAGGGAAGGTGGAGGCAGCCCAGAAGCTGCACCTTTGAGCCCCTGCACCACCATCATATGGGGACTTCTGAGCAGCTCCTGAAGCCAGCCAGAGCCAACTGCTCCGGGCTGCTGCGACTGCCGCTGCTGCGTTTCCCGGGGACATTAGATGAAATCCGGGGACATTCCGGGGATGGAATTTGTCCGGCGGACTTATTCGCAAATCCAGGGACTGTCCCCAGGAAACGAGGACGTCTGGTAACCCTAGATGAAGAGTCTCATGCCCTGTTGAATGAGCTACCTACCCTGTACCATCTGATTTACGCTGATGGCCTTTCATCCCAAACCTCAATTATTTCCTCAGTGGGAGGACTTGAACCATGAACCTCACAAGCTCAGGTTAGTGAGCTGTATGATCTCAGAGGCCAAGAGCCTTCTCTGGCCGTAAGGACAGTACTATAGAAAGAAAAATTGTTGAATCTAATACTACTGACCAAGCCATGGTTGTTTTTTCTTAATTTTACCTTGGAAATGCTAAACAGAGTGTTTGTCTTATCCAGGGAGGCTCCTTATGAGGTCCCAGTCCATCCCAGAAATCTGAATCCCTCTTCTCACTAAACTGGCTTTCTCTTGAAAGCAGAGGAGCCAAATAACCGCCTTCTCAATACCTGTCTCAAGCATATAAGCCTGCAAGGTGAATTAGGATTTGACAGCAGCCAGCATCAAAGTTTATGGCTGCCAATCCATGCGACCCCAAAGGACTGGAAGAGAGCATGTTTCTAATGAGTCCTGAAGGGATTTCCTTTCCCCAGAGCCCACCTGGGCATGTTGTTGTTGTTGTTTAGTCGTTTAATTGTGTCCAACTCTTCGTGACCCCATGGACCAGAGCACGCCAGGCACTCCTGTCTTCCACTGCCTCCCGCAGTTTGGTCAAACTCATGCTGGTAGCTTCGAGAACGCTGTCCCACCATCTCGTCCTCTGTCGTCCCCTTCTCCTTGTGCCCTCCATCTTTCCCAACATCAGGGTCTTTTCCAGGGAGTCTTCTCTTCTCATGAGTTGGCCAAAGTATTGGAGCCTCAGCTTCACGATCTGTCCTTCCAGTGAGCACTCAGGGCTGATTTCCTTCAGAATGGAGAGGTTTGATCTTCTTGCAGTCCATGGGACTCTCAAGAGTCTCCTCCAGCACCATAATTCAAAAGCGTCAATTCTTCTGCCATCAGCCTTCTTTATGGTCCAGCTCTCACTTCCATACATCACTACTGGGAAAACCATAGCTTTAACTATACGGACCTTTGTTGGCAAGGTGATGTCTCTGCTTTTTAAGATCCATCTGGGTATACACAGATGTAAAAGGTCTTCAGAAAGCAGTGCCCCTGGATTATAAACACTGGAACTCCTTGAGCTGCACAAGAGAATTTAAATGGTACCTATAAAGTTCTTTGGGTCCATCATTCTTGGCGTTCAAATGTCTCTGATTTTAAAACGCCGCTTGGGAGACGCCGGTCTTCCTTTCTTTGCAGGTTTAAGTTTCCGCTCTCCCTTTCCTTGACTCTGCCTCTGCTTTCTGTTCTTCTCATTCTTGGGGAGATGTAGTTTCCAGAGCTGTCATTTATACAGAGCAAAGCAAGGAGGGACCAATTTCAACACTGTAAAAAAAGGCAGCGGTGCTGCTAAGGAAGGTTTTGGAGCAGAACTCCAGGACCGTACTCAGAAGGAGAAACAGGAAGGTCCTCAAAGACAGCAGGGATGGCTTACCATATTTTGAAACAAAGAGATTTGAAAGAGGTGGGTCCTTGTAATAATATTAAAGCCAGGGTCTAAAATTGCCTAGGTGGGTCCTTGTAATAATATTAAAGCCAGGGTCTAAAATTACCTAATTACCCTTTGAGAATCACTGTCTTATTCAGACAACTTGAATGGTTTCAGCAGACTTTGGCAGACTTAGGCCCTAAACGATCCTATGCTCAGACATTGTCCACACCCTTTCAAACATATATTGGTAACTATACAGTCTTAGAGGGACGCGGGTGGCGCTGTGGGTAAAACCTCAGCGCCTAGGACTTGCTGATTGCATGGTCGGCAGTTTGAATCCCTGCGGCAGGGTGCGCTCCCGTCGTTCGGTCCCAGCTCCTGCCCACCTAGCAGTTCGAAAGCACCCTTAAGTGCAAGTAGATAAATAGGGACCGCTTACCAGTGGGAAGGTAAACGGCGTTCCGTGTGCTGTGCTGGCTCGCCAGATGCAGCTTGTCACGCTGGCCACGTGACCCGGAAGTGTCTTCAGACAGCGCTGGCTCCCGGCCTATAGAGTGAGATGAGTGCACAACCCTAGAGTCTGGCAAGACTGGCCCGAACGGGCAGGGGTACCTTTACCTTTTTATACAGCCTTAGAAATCTTTTTTTTTTTTTTTAAGTAAAAGCTAAGATGCATGCAACTTTGAACATAGGTTGGGAGCTAGCACTGATTGTTCATGTTCTGTGATCTGACTAGGCAAAATCTCCGCAAAATCTAGTCTCTGTGGCACAACTGAGATGACGGCTCTTGATTTCCATTTAAAACAAAGCAAGTGGCTAGTCCACATGATGGCTGGCATATGTCTGAAGATGTAAAGGTGGTGAATGCAAATAGTTGTGAGGAGTCCCTGCTTCTCACTGCCCCTCCCCTTCAAAGCAAGGCCTAGGATTTCAATTCCATTAGAAGTGTGAAGTCTCTCTCATGTAGATCAGCATTAATTAGTGCTAACATGGTTATATGTGCCTGCAGTTTGTTGGTAGATTTTAGGTAACTTTGCTTGGGGTGTCTCCTCAGTTATGTATCTCCTCAGTCCATGGGGCAAATCTACATACATTCGTTAGTTAGTTATAATGTAAGAAATGTGTTCTAAAAATGTGACACCAGGAGGAGATCTGCCAGCAATGTCAAAATGCATTGAGCATTATATAACATTATTTAACGTTGTTTTTACTAATGTTTTTACAGATCCATGTAGATCCAGCCACACATGTATACTGATATCTCAAGGAGTTCTGCAGTTTCATACACCACAAGGATCCTACAGAGCCAACATGTGCAATGACCAATGTGTGCATTCTCTGGGACCATTCTATTCTCCAGAGAATGACTGGCGTGTGTGTGTGTGTGTGTGTGTGTGTGTGTGTGTGTGTGTTTCACAAACCAACTCCTTCACAGGTGGTCAGGCTCCACAATAAAGGTTTGTATCATTTTGCAGTAAGGCCTTTAAAAAAGAATGTGTGTGTTTCAGGCACAGCAGACATGTGCGCCTACATATTTTATAACTTATTGCATGCTGTATCCAAAATGATTTAATGTTAAGAAGTGGATTTTCTCTATTTCAGGCAACCTGGGAATATTTATAGTCTCTTTATGAGTGGAACTGTCAGCACTTTACCAGACTGACTGTGGGCTGCCAGCTGGCCATTTCCGTTGCAGAATCCTGATAAGATCTGTGTGGAAAACAGGCCTATCCTCCCTTTTGTGGGGAAAGCAAAATATATTAAGGCCAACCCCAAATCACAATGCGGTAAACAAACACTTGAGTTTCCCAAAATTCTTATGTGCACTAGATATTAAGCCAGGCTTCCTCAACCTCGGCCCTCCAGATGTTTTGAGACTACAATTCCCCTCCTCCCTGACCACTGGTCCTGCTAGCTAGGGATCATGGGAGTTGTAGGCCAAAAACATCTGGAGGGCCGAGGTTGAGGAAGCCTGTATTAAGCAAAGGAAATAAAATTAAATTAAACAACCAGCCTGAAGAAGAGTTTGCACGAACTTAAAATGAACCTGCCATTTTGTGATTTGGAGTTGGTCTTAAAGTACTACTGTCTTACAATCCCTGTATGGGGTTCCTCCCCGCATTGGACAAATTCTACTCCAATCTGTACTGTACTGTGGAGGCAGCAACCTTGAACTACCTTAAATGCCCTTTAAAGGATTTGGCACCAGCTTGGCTGCAGGTGTTGCTGGAAGGAGGTTACAAAGTGCCACCCAACCGTCTTAGGAATTCCACTCTGGATTTGTATAAGGTTTGCTTCTTAGCCTTTTATTCTCCCATAGGCAGCAGGTATAGATTTTTCCTCCAGGTTTACTCCCGAAGCCTTTTTCATGGATGAGTACAGTGGTACCTTGGGTTACAGACGCTTCAGGTTACAGACTCCGCTAACCCAGAAATAGTACCTTGGGTTAAGAACTTTGCTTCAGGATGAGAACAGAATTGCGCAGTGGCAGCGCAGCAGCAGCGGGAGGCCCCATTAGCTAAAGTGGTACCTCAGGTTAAGAACAGTTTCAGGTTAAGAACAGACCTCCGGAACAAATTAAGTTCTTAACCCGAGGTACCACTGCACAGCTACAAGGTAGTGGAGGTGTAGGAACAGAGTTTTCCTTCTCCTAAACCACTGATGAAAGAATCAACTGATCACCCCAGGCAATTAAGCAGTAATTGCCTAACATTTGTTGTTGTTTAGTTGTTTAGTTGTGTCCGACTCTTCGTGACCCCATGGACCAGAGCACGCCAGGCACTCCCGTCTTCCACTGCCTCCCGCAGTTTGGTCAAACTCATGCTGGTAGCTTCGAGAACACTGTCCTACCATCTTGTCCTCTGTTGTCCCCTTCTCCTTGTGCCCTCCATCTTTCCCAGCATCAGGGTCTTCTCCAGGGAGTCTTCTCTTCTCATGGGGTGGCCAAAGTATGGGAGCCTCAGCTTCAGGCTCTGTCCTTCCAGTGAGCACTCAGGGCTGATTTCCTTCAGAATGGATAGGTTTGATCTTCTTGCAGTCCATGGGATTTCCTTCAGCACCATAATTCAAAAGCATCAATTCTTCAGTGATCAGCCTTCTTTATGGTCCAGCTCTCACTTCCATACTTCTCTACTGGGAAAACCATAGCTTTAACTACACGGACCTTTGTTGGCAAGGTGATGTCATTGCCTAACATAGGAATTGTTAATCAGCCACCATAACAATACCCTTATTATGTTTAGTAAGAGTGGATGTTGTTTAGTGCAGCCTTACTGAGAAGTTCTTAAGGGCAACTAACTGTAGGGACAGCTGTAGCTTCAAAAAACAACAGCTCCTTTGTCAAGGGAAGAAAAGGTAAAGGTAAAGGGACCCCTGACCATTAGGTCCAGTTGTGGCCGACTCTCGGGTTGCGGCACTCATTTCGCTTTATTGGCCGAGGGAGCTGGCATACAGCTTCCAGGTCGTGGCCAGCATGACTAAGCCGCTTCTGGTGAAACCAGAGCAGCTTACAAAAACGCTGTTTACCTTCCCGCTGGAGCGGTACCTATATATCTACTTGCACTGGTGTGCTTTTGAACTGCTAGGTTGGCAGGAGCAGGGACCGAGCAACGGGAGCTCACCCCGTCGCGGGGATTCGAACCACCGACCTGATCAGCAAGCCCGAGGCTCTGTGGTTTAACCCACAGCGCCACCCGTAAACATAATAGTAAAAAAGATATATAAGATATAATAGTAAAAAAGATATAAAATTTTGTCTGCACATACAGCATGTAGACTGAGTCTCCAAGAACAATTAATTATAAGTTCAAAGTGACAATGACCCAGCTCTACCCACCCACCCCCAACGAACATTATTATTCCCTCCCCCCACGCTTCTCAAGGGAAAACTCTTTCATCCCAGTCCTCAGGTCCATCACCTCTTGACTGAAGAGTTTCCATCTGCAGCATCTCAAGGACTCTCAGTGCTGGGGAAATAATGAGAAACACCATGTTTTGCCTAGCCTTGAGAGGAGTGGAATGTTACCAGGGTTGGTTGCTCAGTTGGTAGAGGATGAGGCTCTTAATCTCTGGGTCGTGGGTTAGATCCCCATGCTGGGCAAAATATTCCTGCATTGCAGGGGGTTAAACTAGGTGGCCCTCTGAGTCCCTTTCAACTCTATGATTCTGTGATTAAGATATCTGTTGTGGCAACAACAACATATTAACATATTACTTATACCCTACTCATCTGGCTGGGTTTCCCTAGCCACTCTGGGTGGCTTCCAACAAGAGATTAAAAATACATTAAAACACCAGTCATTAAAAACTTCCCTAAACAAGGCTGCCTTCAGATGTCTTCTAAACATCAGATAGTTGTTTATTTCTTTGACATCTGGTAGGAGGGTGTTCCACAGGGTGGGCACCACTGCCGAGAAGGCCCTCTGCCTGGTTCCCTGTAACTTGGCTTCTTGCAGTGAGGGAACCGCCAGAAGGCCCTCGGAGCTGGACCTCAGTGTCCGGGTAGAACGATGGGGGTGGAGATGCTCCTTCAGGTATACAGGACCGAGGCCGTTTAGGGCTTTAAAGGTCAGCACCAACACGTTGAATTGTGCTCGGAAACGTACTGGGAGTCAGTGTAGGTCTTTCAATCCCGGTGTTATGTGGCTGCTCCCAGTCACTCGTCCAGCTGCCCCATGTAGAGTAGCCCCACATAGAGCACATTGCAGTAGTCCAAGCGGGAGATAACTAGAGCATGCACCACTCTGGCAAGACAGTCTGCGGGCAGGTAGGGTCTCAGCCTTTGTACCAGATGGAGCTGGTAGACAGCTGCCCTGGACACAGAATGTTAGCTTCTGTGCAGGTATCCACACTACATTTCTTGCAAAAGGGGTTCATTGGCCTCTTTGTTTCCCTGTTTCATAGGAAGTATACAGGAAGCTGCCTTCTATTGGATCAGGCCACAGGTGCACCTAGCTCAGGACTGAGTACCCTGACGGGCAGAGGACTGGCACTGCCAGTCCCACCCCACCCCAGAGATGCTGTGGATGGAGGCTGACTCCTTCTGCCTGCAAAGCAGATGCTGGATTGCTGAATCATGGCCCTTCTCCCAAACTTCAAGGGTCCTTCCATCCAGCACCAACGGCTGAGAATCTATCCCAGGCTTCCTCCTCTAGCTGGCCTCCAGATGTTCTTCAGCTCCAGCTCCCATCACTTGCAGCTGGACTCCAAAACATCGGGAGGGAACCAGCCGGGGGAAGCCTGAATTCAATCCCGTATTCTGCCGCTGGAATAACCTGCAGCACTGGGTACAGCAAATGGCACAGGGTGCTGGATTGTGTGACCAGCTCAGAGAGGAATAGGATAAGGTTGCCATATTTCAAAAAGTGAAGATCTAAACATAAAAGTTGTAAGTTGTTGAGCTTTTTCTGGCATAGTTGTTGAGTTGTTGTTTTTTGCAAAGTCTCCAAAAGAAATGCCTTAGGGCTGAGAGGTAAGCTATAAAGTTTGAAATAAATATATCAATAATCCATCATGCCCTTCTTGGTGGGTGGGTGTGTACACATATATGGTACGTGTGTGTGTGTGTGTAATATGGAGTTTTTTTTGTATCCCTCTCTTCTTCCATAAGGGATGCGGGTGGCGCTGTGGATTAAACCACAGAGCCTAGAACTTGCCGATCGGAAGGTCGGTGGTTCGATTCCCCACGACGGGGTGAGCTCCCGTTGCTCGGTCCCTGCTACTGCCCACCTAGCAGTTCAAAAGCACATCAAAGTGCAAGTAGATAAATAGGTACCGCTCCGGCAGGAAGGTAAATGGTGTTTCCATGCGCTGCTCTGGTTCGCCAGAAGCGGCTTAGTCATGCTGGCCACATGACCCGGAAGCTGTATGCCAGCTCCCTTGGCCAATAAAGCGAGATGAGCGCCGCAACCCCAGAGTCAGCCACGACTGGACCTAATGGTCAGGGGTCCCTTTACTTTTACCTTCCTCCATAGATGTCAGGACTAACAATCACAGGCTAATTTCCATTTTATCCTTGTAAGAATATTGTGAGGTAGGTTAGGCTGAGCGATAGTAACTTGAAACTTAGCCGTTCCAGTTGTTCATTTCACTGCAGTTACTGAGCTGAAGAGCTTGGTCCTAACAGGGGGAACAGCCACATTAGCTTTCAAAGACTAATCCGTGTCTCTTCTTTTCCCGAAACCCCTTTATCGCCTATTTAGAGCTAAACAGATGCAAGATCCTCCACACTTTCAGAGTTTGCCATTCTAAATATAGCGCTAAAACAAAAGGGAAGACAAGGGAGAAGCGTGTCTAGAGGGATTTAGCATAGGATGACAATGATCGACACAAACCCTCTACCATAATTTTGACTCTAATCTGTTAACCAAACTCAAACTTCTTTTCTTCTAGGCATTTTCCAGAACGCTTAGAAATTG